AAAAAAAAAAAAAAGAGAATTCAAAAATAGCATGATAGCAGAGACAGTGGGGCCACACCTGTGCCCCACAGCACTGCTGGCTACTCACATTGCACCTCTCCCAGAGCCAGGGCAGTGTAGGGCATGGGCAGGACTGCCCCAGGAGTGTGCCAGGATGCTGCTTCACATGGGCCCCTTCCCAGATCCTCCCTGGGGAGGGCTAGGGCGGCAGGGAAGACGCAAGTGGGGCTGTGGCAGCATCAGCGCTGGCAGTGGATGAGTCTCTCAAAGCACTTTGCTGATCCTCCTGCATGCCAGCCTGGCCCCGCCTGGTCATGGACCCTCAGCACCAGGCATCCAGATGTGAACAGGAGCCCTGCTCCCAGCTCTACTGCCCCTGGGGACAATTGTCCTCTGCAGAGCTCACACCAAGGGCTGCCTTGCATAGCCACTGACCGCCAGGCAGGGTCCGGCCCATCACCCCCACATGGTGTGGCTCCTTGTTGTGCCTGGCCACAAACCACTGGTACCACTGCATGAGACCACCACAGCATCCCTCATGACAGATGCTCCCCTGAGCTGCCTGGGTCCATCCTGCACCAACTCCCTCCTTACAAGACTAGTTCCATGTCTTACTGAGGATTTCAAAGGCACCAATCAGCTTGACCTGACCAAGCCAAAATCTAAACATATTAGTTTCTGTAACATCCTGAATACCTTACAGTTGTTCTGCGTTCCTTCACCAACCTGCAGTGCTGGGGCATGGGTCATCCCAGCAGCCCCAGCTGGGCACTGTGGGATGCTGCTATGGATGGCTTGCAGTGAGCCTGGCACTCCTCAAACTGCAGCCAGCAGGAGCCAGGAGGAGTGTCCTGTGGGCTGGCAGGGAGCAGAGGGGCTGAAAAACCTGTGCCAAAACCCCATTCCTGCAAAGAACTGCATGCCACTGTGGACACAAAGGCAAGTGGTGCCATCCCTGTGTTCTGGAGCTCTGAATTTCAGGAAGAGCCTGGATGTTCTCATCCCCTTAGAGCTGCAGAGTCCTCTACTCCCTAATGCCTGCAACAAAAAGTTCCCCAGGTGATGGTGACCTCTGGGGAGACAGCAGGGTTTCTCCCAGGCAGGACTTACCCACACAGTGCCTGCGCTGCCCAGTGACTTTCCCCTGAGACAAGGGGCTCTGACACCCTGCCAGGCACCTGGCTGATCCTGGCTCCTGCTGCCACCACCAACGGGCCCCATTGCCAAAGCAAGGGCTTTCACAGCCCCAGCACAGCTCCCATGAGCAAGGGGCAAGCCTGTGGCTGCATGGACCTGCAGGACTAAATGCACAAAACTGGTCAGAAAGACAAAACTGGGGAGCTGTGCTCACTGTCACTCTGGGAGTGGCATTTTGCAGGTGACACGGGAGGGAGGTGGATAACAGAGATGGCAGCATGGAGTAGGACAGGATCTGAATTTAAAAGGAATCTGTGATGGGGGAGGAAGAGATCTGAAATGGCTGTGAGGCAGCTCTATCAGGGCGAGAGGCTTGTAGAATGCCTTAAGCAGCCATGACCTACTGGAGAAAGTCTGGAGCAGCAGCAACCAGAAACCTCGAAAAATCCAGCAGGCATGAAAAACCTGCAGAAGGCTGGGTCACATGAATCCTGAGAGCAGAGGCGTGATGGGAACTACAGCAGCATCCCAACACATGAAAGACTCCTGTGAGGTCTGAGGTGGAAGAGCAAGTCCTTCTCAGGCAGCCCTGGGGCTACGGAAGGCAGGATGAGAAGAAAACCTTTCTGGCAGAAAGGGCAGGAAGCACTCAAGAGGCGGCCTGGGAAAATGTTTAAGACCAGGTGGGACACACTGCCAGAATGAGGTGAGGTAGAGCTGCTCTTGCCAAGGGCAGGGATAGATCAGATGTCTCCTATGCTGTCCTGATTTTCTCCAATGCAGAGTCTACCTCCCGACCTACCCCCACCTTGCTCCAGGCCCACCCCCTCGCCTCCTGGTTTACCACCCAGCCATCCTCTGAACATCTCACCTTGTTCTCCTGTTTTCACCCAGCACCACCCCCACCCCTGTCATCTCCTGCCCCAGCACCTCAGCCCCAGCATCTCCCCCTTCCTGCTGCATCCTTCCCACACTGCCTGCCCAGCCCACCCTCAGCCACATGCTTGGCCGGGCGTGTGCAGCCACTCAGCCTCTTTACAGGAGGCTGCAAGCTTGACCTACTGTGTCTTCATTAGGAAGAGCTGCAAGCCTAGAAAGCACTTAAATGACGAAGTACTCATGCAGTATTTGCTAACCAGTGTGATGCACCAACCTCTTGGTACTTCCAAGGGATAGGGATTTTTCTCAAATGAAGACCATAGCCAGCAAGCCTTGATCAACACTGTGCTTCAGAGTTGAGAAGCTGACCATAGGCAGCTGGAGATCATTTTTCACTGCCAAAGGTCCTGGTGCTGTTAAAGCCCTGGGACTGGCCAGGCTGCAGCCCCCCAGCCTGGTCTCATTCAGGGTCCAAAAGTCTTCGTGCAGATGAGAATGGAGGAATCAGCTATGAGGACTTGTCAGGTTGTAAAAGAGGGCAGTGGACAACATCTCTGTGACCTGAGCAACTGTCCTAGCTGAGCAGGGAGGGATCCAGCTGGAGACTGTTGCTGCAGAGCTTAGGGATGGCTGGGACAAGCCTCCAGCAACCTGAGTTTCAGGCACCGCAGAAGAGATGGCAGAAAGCAGCACTTGGGAAGCTAAGCAAAGCAGGAGTGCAGTGATGCAGGCCAGGGGAAGGGGAACAGCAGTGGCATGTGTGTGTGGCAGATGCAAAGCACAAGCCTCACCCATCAGCAGGGAGGTGCCAGGATAGTTATGGCCAACACAGACTGTTGTGACCAAGTAGGCTTTTTGCTTCTTGCTGCAATGTTCACCTCCAGCACAACCCACCAATGCCCCACAGCTCATGACAGCAATCATAGCTTCACTTCCCTCACCCAGTAACACTTTCCACTGGCTACTGCCATGTACAGGGACACCCAGCCCAGGAGATCTTCCTCTGCTCTAACAAAGGCCACCACGCAGAGCCCTGCAGCACCCACTCTCATGGGGATGGGTTTAAGCCTGTGGATTCACAGCTGGAAAAACTAAAAGGGCTCATGGCTCTTATTCTCCTTACCCATCAAAAGCACCCTCCACTAACCCAGGAGGTGAATGTCTGCTGTGCCACTTCACTTTAAGCTGACTGCAAAGTGACATTGTTCAGGACGATAGGAAGGATGCATATGCTCTTATCTGAAGGCTCTAGGAAGATTTAAGTTCAAGTTTAGTATTAAAAAAAAATCACTTTGCCTGAAACAGGGACATCCATGCTGGATTTATGCTATCTTAAGTAAACCATACCAACAGCACTGACACCAGTGCAGAGATAAAGCAGGGTAAGGAGCCTCAGTCCTTGGAGCCTTCATTCTCAGCATGGTGTGGATAAGAGAAGAGCAGGAGCCTGAGTTGACACCTTTCCAGATCCAAATGTCTGTTCAGGGCACCCACAGGCAGCTCCAGCACCCTCTCCTCAGTGCGAGCTCCCTGGGGCACCCGTTCCTGCAAAGCAGCCACAATGCTGCAGGGAGCAGGAGCCTCTGGTGACTACATGCACCCAAAGGTACATCTGCTGCTGGTCACAGCATCTCGGCTGCTTCTCTGGGAGTGACAAGGAACAGGACCAGGAATGGTGCAGCTGTTGAACCTGCTGCTGCACAACCCCACAGGCAGGGACAGCTCAGCTGGGACCTAGATCTGAGGGCCCTTCCAGCCATCAGCCCTTGCTCCAGGACTGCAGCACACCTCGGTGCTGCCCCGCCCCTCCCTGTCCCAGAATGATGCAGAGGAGTTATCTCCATCCCTGAGAAGACTCTAAAAGCACTGCATCTTCTCACGCTCTGTTGCCTCTGGCAGCACAAACACCGACCCTCACCTTTGCAAATCGCTCCCCGGAGTGGAAGCGGAGCACCAGGGCAGTGGTCTGCCCACAGCCAGCTCTGCAGGCTTTGAGGGGGCTGGGAAGAAGCTTCCAGCAAGGGAGCACTGCAGAATTTTTGCAGCTGTAGGGAAGCCTCAGCTGGTACTTGGACAAGTCAGCTTCTTGGAGAGCAGCAGAGAAGCCACAATGCTTTTCTCGCAGAGCTGCCAAAGTGCTTCCTGAGCCCAGGAGCTGCTGGGAGCTCCAGCCATCCTCACACAGCAGAGGAAGATGCTGGACCTGCACATTTGTCTCTGCAATATCCCAGAGTCTTCACAGTCCCAGCCAAAGAGATTTGGGCATTCACTAATGAAAACCAGGAAGAGCTGCTAAGTGCAGGGCAACCACATTTTTCCCCTCCAAAAATGACATCCACCTCCTCATGCCCTGCAGCAAGGCTTGCCCAGGCTGGTGATGAGGGGAAGGAAGAATCATCTTGGCAACTACCACAGCCAAAAACAGGCTGAAAGTGTTGGCAGCATGAAGCATGGGGCAGAGCTGCATTTTGCACATAGGTACTGTTCTCTCAGGGTGTGTGTGGGTACACGGTCTTTGGGTGGGCAGCACTATTTCTGCCGCAAAATCTGAGCCTCAAATGAGCCTCAGTGCTGTCAGCTCCCCTGGCACCATGCATGGCTAGCTGCTCTCAAAGCACTGCTGCCCTGTATTGCCACCAGAGAAAGGACCAATGTGTATGGAGGAGACTGGCATTTAGAAAATTTCCATATAGGAAATTACTGTGGGCAACTGGGCAGGGAAACAGGGATGTTTTTCTGTCCCAGAGATAAACAAACATGACTGATAAATTCTCAGTCCTTTGTCTGCTCTGAATACACTGAGCTTAGGGGTGGCAGAAGTCATGAAAACTCCAGTAAGGTGGGAGCTGAGGCATTTTCAACCACCAAAATACTGTTCTGTGAGAAGAGAGCTTATCACTGCTCATCTGTGGCCTTAGAAATAGTAATCATGATTGTCCCAGAATGAGTCAATGTTCAAATGTTCAACCTGAGGAAATCAGCACTGCAGGTACATTACTCTCTCCCCAAGCATTACTAACCTAGGATACACGATGAGGAGGGTGGGAGCTTCTGTGTTTCATCACAAGTGACTCCATTAATTCAAGCCAACAGCTACCAGAGCCTGGCCAGAGCTGGAGGGAAGTGCCAGTGGCTGGGTGCTTTAATTCTTGGCACGCCACACCTGGATGTCCACATGGCTGGCACTGGGGATCTGCTGGTCCATGAGTCAACAGAGCCCAGTGGGGGCAAAGGGAACGTCCCCCATCAGCTCCTGGGAGGTGACCAGAGGCAACCGCAGCTGGGCTGCAAAGAAACCCTGCCCCTGAGCGGAGCCAGCGGGGAGGGAAACCCAGATGAGCACATCCAAGGTGTTTTGTCATGCCTTATATCATCCCCTTCTCTGACAGTAACCTGGAGCCTGCTTCCCTGGCCCTGGCTGTAGGGCTGGGGGTGGCGTGGCAGGGGTCTGCCAGCCCTGGCAGCCGGTGGGAGGGCCGGGAGAGGAAGCGCTTTGAAGTGGCTGGTGATCACTGGCACAGCCGGCTCCGGAGGCAGCGTGCAGAGACTCCCTAATGCAGCAGCCCTTTCAGGGGCAGCCTTGGCACTCAGAGAGATGGCGTGTGAATAGCCAGGACAGCAACAGGAAAAGCAAAGCAAAGAAACCAAACAACAGAACTGGGGGAAATGGCTGCAAGGGAAGTGCTCCCCAAACCTCCAAACCCAGCTGCACTGGCCCCGTCAAATCCAAGGTGCAGGGAGACAGAGGCTGGGATGCAGGCATGCTGCTGCTGCAGGATGCCCAGGGCAGCAGCCCATGCAGGCCAGACACTCTGTACTGAGCCTTTCAGAAGAGCTTGGCTGCCTGACCATGCATACGTTCATCTTTGGGATGCACAGAGCAGCCAGCTCTCCCTGCCTGCAAGGGGGCTGTATGGAGGGATGGGTGAGACATTGTGTCTGACACGAGGCTGAGCCAGCCACCATTTGTACATCTCTACGCCCCTGTGCATGTCACCGGTTAGGAATACAGGATCATTTAGGGGCAGTGGGGGAAGGTCGGTGGAGGCAAGGCAAAGCAGAGATGTGTCTGAACTGGAGGTGCTCAGCTGCCCATGGGGCAGCTAGAGCTCAGGGAGGCTGCTGTGCCATGGGCTGGAGACCAAATCCTTACTGGCAGGACTGGCACTCGCATGGATGTGTGAGCAGTGGGGAGCAGCCTTGGCAGGCACAAAGCTCAGGGCAGAATCTGCAGCACTTACACAGCCAGGAGAGGCTTTATGCTTTTAACCAAGGAGCTCTGGATGCAAAATGATCAGGGATGCAACGGGGGAAAAGCTCAGCCCAGGATGGACTGCCGTCCCCCATCACACAGGTCCTTCCCTGAGCATGTCTGTCCACCCCCAATGGGGTAACTCAACATAAGGGATGGATGCATTTAAGTGCTACCTGCCATCAGAGGCTACCCCTCATGCCCCCGGACTGGGAGGCTGTCAGTGCCCGCGGGATCAAGGTGGGAGTACAGGCTCAGCCCAGGAGAAGCTGTTCTGAAAGGCCTGCAGCAACATGAGCATCCTCATGATCTGACCCCAGAGCTGTGCTCCCAGCTGGCTGGAGCATCCGTGGGGCTCCTCCCAGTGGGAAGCGGGGGGGTGGCAGGGTGGGCTGCTTGGAAGGTCCACAGTCCGAATGGCAGCACAGAGAGGTGCTGGAGGAGTGCTGCAGGCCAGGGGCCAGCCAGGCACCCTCTCACTCTCTCACTCTCAAGGTCCACAGTCCGAATGGCAGCACAGAGAGGTGCTGGAGGAGTGCTGCAGGCCAGGGGCCAGCCAGGCACCCTCTCACTCTCTCACTCTCTCTCTCTTTCCTCTCTGTGCCTCTCTGCCGGTCGGCTTGCTACATACCTCCTTTCCTACATATTTTCTTGTTGGGCTTTCGGGTGCATTCCTTGGAAATCCGTTTTACTGTAAAATGAATAAAAGACTACAAAATAACAGGAGGCTCCACTGATGGGAGTGGGCATGCAATCACAACCACGCTGCTACCCTCCCACCGCCCCCGGGACCGCGGGAGGTGGGGAGGGAGCGTCGCCATGGGAGGAAAACTCTGGGCCAGCCGTGCTGGGCGAGAAGGAAGGCATGATGCATTCCGTGGGCCCCAGAGACAGAGGAGTGGAGCCAGCCAGCCTGGGAGAAGCCACTGACCCGCCAGGCTGCTCTGCTGTGTGCAGCAGACCCGCTGCGGGTCCCTTCTGGCCCGCTGAAAATCCCTGGGGGCTCCCGTTGTGGTGAGGCTGGGGCGGGCGTGCGGGCAGGCGCTGCCTCCTCTGCCCTCTACTTACAGTTCAGGTGGAATCCCCTACAAAGGAAAAGGTTAGACAAGGAGGCACCCAGCGCCGCTCAGCCTCACCCTAACAGGACCATGCCCCAGCACTCCAGGCTCATCGCTCTGCCGCTGGCCCGCCAGCGGACGGAGGAGCAGCCAAGCGATGTGTCTGCCAGTGCACCCCAACCTCCCATCCGTACCAGGGCCCAGAAAAGGGCTCTGTGGTCCCTTTCTTGCCGGAGCATCTTCCCAGGGAGAGGCAGAGAGTGTTCCTCCCAGCCGCAGCCCACGCCCACAACTAGCGCATGGACCTGGGGAGGGTGGGAAGCAGGGAGGAAGGACGAACTCGAACCAACTCAAGACAGAACCTGGCACTCGGCGCCTGTGGGGAGCACAAATCAGCTTGTCACTCTGTGGATCTGCGGTCAGAGAGTTGGATTCAGATTTAGCAATACAAGAGAGGAACCCGTGATGATGCCATGGAGGTGGAGGGGTGGGACCAGGAGGCGTGGAGGAGCAGGAGCACGCGAGACAGAGATGGCAGCTGAGGGCAAGAGGGCAAGCTGCGTGGCCAGAGAAAGCTTTCCACAAACAGACAGCATGCTGCAGGGTCCACAACCACATGCTTCAAACACAACACCCAGGTGAGACCAACCACTGCTGAGGAGGGGTGGAGTGACCCCCCCTCACTCTCCTGCAGTCACCCCAGTGGGGACTCACCATCCTCCGTGGGGATGTAGATGTTGAGGTACAGACAGTCCTCGTTGGGGTCCTGGATGTATGTGGCCACGATATCCAAATTGGAGGTAAACCAGATGGGCAGCATGATCTCAGGAACGGCGTTGTGGATGTTCTGGGGGCAGACTGGTGAGAAGTGGGTAGCGTTCCTGATGCCTGACCAGGATGGTGGTGGCTCAGGGGGCATGAATCTCTTCTCCCCAATGGGGGGAGCGGCATAAGGAACCCCCAGGTACTGGTCCACAGGCCCCAGGATCTCACTGGGCAATGGCACGCGCACCCCTCGTAACTTCCCATAGTGCGTGTTGACAGTGGGCGAGTAGACCTGGCCCTCCATCTGCACAACCATCGAGGCAAAGCTCAGGACCCAGAGGGTGAGACGCAGGTCCCAGCTGGCCACCAGCTCAGGCACTTGGAGAACAGGGGGGAAGAGAGGGTTTCTCCAGAGTATCAGCCACATTGTCTGGGAGAAACAGCACCAACATCCAGGCCTGAAGCTCCTGGGGCGAGGTCTCAGAGCAACCCCATCACACCAAGCCTCTGATTTGCCCACCAGGAAGAGACGGAGCAGAAGAGACAGGAGTCAGGAGTGCGAAGCCCAGCCACACCTTCTGCTGGGTGAGTCGGGAGCACGTACACAGGGAGATGTGGCACCAGCTCCTCACAGCCTCCCAGCTGCCTGCTGCTGCCTGCCTGCCAGCGGCCCAGCCCGGAGGTGACTGCTGATACTGTGGAGAGATGGAGGGAATTAACAGCAGACTTGCTCTGGAAGAGTTGAAGACCTGCAGTGCAGAAGGAGCACTGAGCCTCCCACCCATGGATGCTCATTGGCCCTGCCACTACCCGGGCAGGTGGCTCTGGGACAGGCAAAAATGGGCAGAACAAGCAGAGCATGTGCAGACACACACACTGTCTGCCCATGCCTGCAGAGCCTGTCCCCAGTGCTCAGAGGCTGCCCAGAGTATGGGTGCCAAGATAAGCAGACAGTGCTGTGTCCCTCCCCATAAGGAGCCTGTTGAACACCACTGGTGCCAAGCACAACCCCTGCACAAGACCCCACTGGCACCCCTCCTCTCCTGGCTCAGCCTGTGTTACCACACCACAAGCAGCCCGTGCTCCTTGCCTGGGCTTCACCATAGCACTGCTCCCCTGTTTCCCCTCCTACACCAGCAAACTCGACCCACATGTCCAAGCCAACAACACACTCCCCATCAGCTCTCCCCCTCCATGGCCAAAGCCCTGAGACCCCGGCAGGACCCAGGTGCTGGGCGGGCACAGAGAGGAGAGGAACATCCAGAGAGTCTGGGGGCATCTGCCCTCCCTGCCAGCCGCTCCTGCCCCGGCCAGCCCGGAGAGGCAGAGCTCCGCTCCCACGTCTCCGCCCGGGCTGGCGGCATCAGGAGCAGCAGCTGAGGCAGCCCCCGTGGGGAAGGGAGAGCACTGCAGATGGGGACCCGCGGATGTGTCAGCGAGCACAGCTCCGGTGCCAGGGAGCCCTGGCTGGAGGCTCTGTGGATTCTCAATGCTCTGCCCTTCACCTTCCCGCACCGCCTGTCGCATTTAGGGCTTATGTAAGTGCCCCCCGCCTCGGCACCCCCCGCCAGCACCGCTGCTCCCGGGGGAGCCGGGCACGGGAACCGCGGGGGCTGCACCCGCCTGGGGCTCCCCTCACCGCGGCCGGGCCAGCGCAGCATCAGCTCCGGATCTTCAGCCGGGTCCCCGCCAAAAGGCGGTGGTGGCTCAAGGGATGCTCACTCGTCATGTGTCAGCTACATGTCCTCACGCTGGGAGAGATGGCAGCGGTGGTGAAGCACCTCCGTTTTGCCCCAGGGCATCCTTACATGCCCACCCGGTAGATCTCTCCCAGGCTCAGAGGGGAGCAGAGTTGCCTTGAAATTATTGGAGCACAAATAAGGGCTGTATGCATATGGGAGTTTGCAGCTCTGGTAGAGGTTCAGTTGGGCAGGGATTCCACAAATAGAGAACACCTCATCCAATGAGGAAAATCCGCAGGAAAAAAAACCACCATCACCAAAAAAATCCCCAAACCTCCCAGACAGACAAACAGAAACCCACCAAAAAACCCTACCCAAACAAAACACAACCAAAACCCCCCAGAGAAAGTGTCTCAAATCTGTACTGCGTATGTGCAGGCAACTCACTGCTGGTCATTAAGGAAACGGGCCCATGCTATGCCTGCCCTCCTGATACACCCAAAGAACTTGGCAGCCTTAGAAATCAGGGTAAAACAGTAAATAGAAACACTGATCTCAGAAAATCATGTTACTGCATTCAGCCCACCCAAGCAGCAAGGCCTTGCAGGGCTGGGCACGCAGGCACCTCTCCAGGGCCTGCCAAGGGAATGCAGGTAATGCCAAGCAAGGAGGGCAGTACATCTCTGCACATCGCTCCCCTTCACCTCCTTCTGCCCCACCAGGCAGTGACAGAACCACACCAGCAGGAGCACAACACTGCTGCGTTATCCCCCAAACAGATGCCAAAGTCTAAAATAAAAGCTGAGTCAAGGGCCAGAAAAACAGCTGAGGCACCCAAGCTCAGCTCTGCCCACCACTGCTGGAGCTGCCTCTGCAGCACGGTGCCTTGGCTGCCCTGTTCTGCCTGCAGCTCATCTTCATCTGCAGCAGATGGAAGAAAACCATCATTCATCTCATATTCCTTGCCGCAATGCTCCTCCTTCAGCAGAGAACTGACCTTTGCCTAACTCTGACATCCCAGGGGTGCAGTGCTGGCCTGGGACCCCCCAGAGCTGTATTCCCAAGCAAAATCTCAAAGGTGCTTCAGACCCACCACTCTGGCTGTCATTGCTGGAAGGCAAACTGCCCAGTGTAAATCTTCGGCTCAGGTTCCTTCAGGTAACACAGGTTAGGATAAAGCTAATTATTAATGACTGTCTTATCTAATTTGTATGACTGGAAGCTACAGGCAGCTTCTAGTCCTTATGATAGTGCATACAGTGCTCCCTGCAGAGCCATTTCAACTGATCCATCATCATTTTCTTTCTGCAGGAACACCACAGCCCTGCCAGTGGTGATTCACCAGCTGATTTCCCAGCTCCAGAGCTTTCTCATGGCTGCAGCCACATGCTGCCATGGGCACTGCTGCTCCACCAACTCCTCCAGGCAAAGCAATTTCATGGCACCAGGCAGTGCCACTACACAGCTGCCCAGCTGGGCTGCATACACCAGTCACAGGGCTGAATTCACAACCCACTTTGCATCTGAGGAGCTTCCGCACGCCCACTGTAACCATCCTGTCCTGACACAATGAGGAATCTCTTCTTACAAAGCACAGCCAAAAAACAGCTTCTTGCTACAGCTCATCAGAATTATGCTATGATGATATTCCTCTGAGTTCTTGTTTAATCCTCATCCAGCTCTGAAAAAACATGGGAATCTGAACACAAAAAAACATAAGCTAAGATAGAATTAAGTACACATTCTTAACTTAAACAAAACGATGCTACAGGACTTAAAACTGTCTCCAATTACGAGCTTTATAAAGCATGAGGCACAGAGGTGAGCTGCAGTAGTGATAGCCAAATATGTCCAGCTATGGAGATGCACAGTCAAGGCCCAGCAGCCCTAATGTTACCCTGGAGAGCCACAATGCCTTAACATTCAAACACAGCTCACAGTATTTTAACATTTGTAATTCCACATTTGGTTCCAACATTTTTTAAAGACTCTTTGCCTCCATCTGCCCATGTCCCCGCAGCACAGAATAAAGGCACCCAAACAATCTCAGTGACATGCTTCTAAGCCTTCTGATGTTTGGATTTTTTCAATTACAAACCCGAAAAACGATGCAAACCCTATATCTGAAATTCCCTGGGTTTCAAATGCCTGATTTGGGATAATTACAATACCCCTGCAACACATCTGATACCCTCATATTGCTGTTCTGTGCTCTGCGCTTTCTGATGTAACTTCATGTTAACATAACATTTAGGATGGGAATTTAGCCTTAATTTAATGCTGACAGACTGCCATAAAAACCCAAGCTTAATCCCTTTCACCGTGGGTTGTTGCATGTGCCTTGCATTGCTGCCTGCTGCCTCAACAGCTCTTAAGCTTCTTGGTCTTTCAAAACGTGAGAAAAAAACTGAGAGACCCAAGAAAGGACATTTCGTTCAGGGAAGCAATTCCCTTCACATCCCATGGGAGGTGGGAGCAAAACTTTCCCAGTTTTGCCACCTACAGTGCTCTCACTCTTCCCTCTAGCAGGAAGCCAAACGTGTCCCCCAGCGAAGATGGGCTGCTGCCTGCCTGAGCCCCGTGCCAGGAGCCGTGCCTGCCAGCTAGAAGTGAAACCAGGCTGGGCTGGGCAGACAGCGCCAAACTGGGAATGCTCAGACAAGCACGCAGTGAGAAACTGGGAGCATAAAGACACCGCAGGCATCCCAGGTCGCTCTGCCAGGCCGCTGGTGGGTGAGCAGAGGAAGTGAGGCTGCTAGCTGTTGGGGATGTTATTCATGTGCTTTGGAAAACAAATGCTGTATAGGTATTTCCATGGTCACACTGTCTGCCAGACGGCTTCCTCCTCAACAAAGAGACGCTCTCCATGGAAACCTGGGCGGGTGGGATCCTCTGGAAGCCTCTCTGGCAGATGCATACTCAGGCATCTCAACACCAGCCAGACGAGCCGGATCCACATCTCCTCTGGCAGACGGCCGAGGAGATGCGAGCAGACAGCCTGCTCTCGTATTGGACCCTTCACTGGGGCCAAAACTCCTGCCCTGGGGCACCAACCCCAAGTTTATCACACTCATGTCCCATGAGGTTCAGAGCCAGGACAGACGGAGACCTCAAAGCACCCAGCTGGCACGGATGATCTCCTTCCAACAGCAAGCAGACAGGATGTCCCATTCCACTCTGCAGCCACTGTGCCTCGTGCAGCTCTGCTCACCATTTGACCCCGTTGTACTGTGCTGGGGGCCAGCCTGTGCACCCCAGAACAAACATGCACCCAGCAAGCAGCATGAGAAATTTCTGCCTTCTCTTCTCCAGGTGAGCTCCAAACCTTTCCACCAGCCTGTACTCCAGCTCAGGCTGGTGCTCAGCTCTCAGGCAGCAGCACGTGCCAGACCCACTCCCCATCTGGCATCTTCTCTCCTCTGCTGAGCAGTAATCCCAGCTCTCATCCTGCCCCATCCCCCATGGCCTGGAACACTGCAGAAACCCCACAGGCTCTCCTGGGGAGCAGAGAAGCTGCAGCACAACTGCACCAATGTGCTTGTGTTCCTGTGTCCCAGCAGCCCCTCAAGAGCGTCCCTATACCTGCAGGTCTCATCCCAGGTTACCCATCCATGCCACAGGCAGATGTTTCCTGGTCCCACAACACTGTGGGGGCACTTCCCAGGTCCATCACAGAGCTGGTGAACAGTGATAGATGGCTCAGAGTTACAGTGAAAAGGACATGTAGGGTTTCAGAAAGGTCTGCCCTGCTGCTGCTATTGCTCTGCTTTTCCATGAACGACCTAAATGACAAAACAGAGTACGTTTTAAAATCTGCACGTGACACCCCAGCACTTTAGGGGTCACGATGGGAATCTGACATGCTTCTGACAGACTGGGAAAAGGGCTGAGAGATGATGGGCAGGACTGTAAGGCATTGGGAGGTAAAAAATCACACAAA